CGGTAGACAATGTCTATTCAAATCTTTGTCTGATCTAAGTAAATCCAATCAAACAAAAAATAGCCAATGACACTAAAATCACAAATATTTATTTCCTTGATAAATCTATCTTTTAATTGGGCACGCTTCCGTTGACATTGGCCAACGATGCTACTAGCGGTGTCACTCTGTTTCTGAAACACTTTTGGTGCTTCGTTTGCAAAATTGATGGTTTCTATCTACTCCCCTAACCCACCCCCTAAACCCTCCACCCCACCCCACCCCAACCCCGTTCTAAACACCCCTCCAAATGTGTGACTATTATGCATTAAATTAAAGCACCGGAAGTGCTCCAAAAATGCAGTGACACTTTTGTCCAGTGTCAACACAACCGTGCCCCAGTTAATTTAGTTAAGAAATTTAGTCCAACATAATTTTATTAAATATAATTATATAGTTGAACTAAAGATGTTCAAATGTAGAATCTTGTTCAAGTCCTAATTATGTTCAAATGTACAATCTTGTAAACAATTAGGTTAGCACAGTATACATAACTGAATAAAACATGGGATATAAAATCAAATAGGACAACTATTTGTAAACGTGCTGTGGGATTAATATATAATTATATAAATGCATAGCCAGGATTTAATGACATTAAATAAATGGTTAGAAGACAACTCATTTAAAATAGTTGGTTTTAATTACGTACTCCATAGTGGTTTAGCTTTAATTTCGATCTGAAAATCATTACAGTATTTGTTCTTTTTTTCGTGTTTGAATAATTTGGTGGAATTTAGTCAAAGCAATTGTTAGTGTAATTAATTAACGGGAGGGTGTGTTTGTAGAATAAACAAAATATGGGTTTTGATATCTACACATGCCAATATTCTTTTTGAATTGGTGTTTGATGAAGGCAAAAAAGATATTGAATTCGATATTACCAGATATCATAATTATTCAAATAAAGGGTTTCGATATCTCCTGAATTTGAGAGATATCAATATGGAGGTTTGATGCATCTCTCAACCGTTGATCATTCTCTATCACCGGCTACCATTATCACCACCAGTCACCCCCCGTTGCCGGTCACCCCCACTTATCACTAATTAAATCATAATTTTGAATTTCTCCAAACAACTTTGTTTCAGATTTCAAAACTCATTTCATTTCTTCATGATTTCATAACTCATATCTTATCATATCTCTAAAACTCACGAAATGGAACATAAATGTTCTTTCAAATATTCCAAATCTACCAAACAAATCCAACAACTTAAAAAAAACGATCATGCTTCGTGTTTTGTGCATCTCATAAAATATTTTTACTCTATGTTAAAGAGCATCTCACATTGGAAAAGTGTGAGGAAATTAATCGGCATATAAGCTCTTGAGTTGAACTCACTAATCGATTGAATTCAATCTTTTAATGTGGTTCAAGCCAAGTATCTTATTACTCAATCCAGTTGTCCATACCCCATCCTAAATTTTATCACTCTACCTCACATGTCTAAAATATTTTTAAAACAAATTTTACCTACAACATAGGAGAAATAAGGTAAATTTTAGATATTATAAATGTGGATAGAAGTGTTTTATGGATGTGCCAAAACATAAAATAAGAATACTGTATTTTTAGAACAAAGGAAGTAGTATTTTGTCAGGCTCATTATTGCAACATAATGACATGTTTGGGTGATATTTATGTATAGGAATTTAATATATCATACTCCCTCCGTCCCACTGTCTTTGTCCACTTACCTTTTGGCACATCATCCAATGCATTTCTTTAATCCATTTTATCTTGTAATTTGTATATTAAAAAATTATAGAAATTATATTATTAATAATCTATATGTTAAGACGAATCAAACAAGATCACACATGACTATTTTTAGGCTTACACATTGAGAGAATTTGATGAGTCAAAGTGCTTAGATGAACAGTTCCAAAAGTCAAATGTGGACAAAGACAGTGGGACGGAGGTAGTATCTAATTAATTAAGAAAGAAAATGATGCTCTCCCTTTGGTTTAACTCTTTATACTAGTTGTTGTTATTGACTTATTGTTATTTGACAGACCTTCAAGAACAATTTAGTTGTGGGTGTGCATTTGAGATGTTGCAATTGTGATATAAAGTTACTAATAATGTACTTAGACTCAAATATGTGGGCCTACTTCAGTATATATTTTTGTTTTATATACTTTATCCATCTCCAATTATTTGTTCTGATTGATTTTTTCGTGTTAAATTGAATACTCTCTCCGTCCCATAAAGATAACAACGGTTTGACTAAAGTGGTAAAATAAAGAGGAATAATTTTGTATTGACTTTCTAAAAATACCCTTGATGTGATAGATAAAAGTAAGATGTGATGTGTAGATTATTATGAAAAAGGTATGATGTGATAAGTAAGGTATGAAAAAGTAAGGGCAATATAAACGGGAATGACTTTATGGGACGGAGGGAGTATAATTTAATTATAATTAATTAAATTTCTCTATTCACTAATACACAATGAAACACAATTTTGATACGTAGTAGTTTTTTCGTAAGATAAATCTAATGAAATTATTTTTAATTAGTATCTAATACATTTTTTATTTAATTTATGATGATCAAAATTTGACCAATTTGATTAAAAAATGGCTAAATACCCAAGCACTCTAGGAGAGAGAGGTGGTATATTATATGGTTTCTATCCTCCCTCCATTTCAAAAACATTTTATCTTTCTCCTTTTATCCATCAAAATAGGAGTTCCATGTTTTTATCCTTAAAATAGAAGTTTGTACTGTGATAATATTGCACTATATGTGGAAATATCATAATACTTTTTGGTAATGTATATGGTCATGATTGACACTGTAAATGCATTTTAACTTCTATTTCAGAAATTTAGACATAGAACTTTTATTTTGATATATTTTGAATGTTTTGCTCTTATTTTAGTCTTTTTCCCTAAGTGCATAGAGGCTATTGGATATCACAAGACTTTATTATTACTTCCTCTGTCCCAAATTAATCTTCCTTATTTCCTTTTAAGTTGTCCCAAATTAATCTTCTTTCTTTTTTTAAAAACTTTTCATGGCTCGCCTTTTTTTTCTCTTCTCTGCATCACATTCGGCTACACAATTTTATTTTTTTAAAACTCCATGCAAAGTCAAACTAGAAATATTAATTTGAGCGGAGAGAGTATAAAAAATATCAACAATAAAATAAATTTGGATCATGAATGATAACTCCGCCCAAAAAAAATTTCTAATTCAATTTTTCAATCGTTCTAGACACTTTCATTTCAATTAAAAACTCTCTTTTATCCTACTAATTAATACTCCCTCCGTCCCGAAAAACATCAGAATTTTGGTTTTGGAGAGGGATTTAAGGAGAATGTATTTTGGTATTGAATTTCCAAAAATGTCATTGATGTGATGGTAAAAGTATGATTTGATGGATAGATTATTAGTAAAAAAGGTATGATGTGATAGGTAGGGTATGAAAAAGTAAGGGGTAAAAGTAACTTTTTAATATAAATGATAAGTGTTTTTTGGGACGAATGAAAAAAGAAAGGAGAAAGGTTTTCTGGGACGGAGGGAGTAATTATTAACAACTTATCTCGTAATATTTATTAAATATTAATCTACTCATCCCATTAATCATAATCTATAATAAAGTAAGGACAAGATTAGAATTCAACATTAAAATTACACATTTTTTAAATCTCGTCCTTTTCAAAGTGGAAAAATTATATGGGAAGGAGGGGTAAAATAGTAAAAATAAAATCTCTTCAAAATTAGACCATTGAATTTTGGAGGCAGCTGAAATATAGTCCGTATATGTGGTCCGGCCTCCCGTGACCCAATTTATTCACTTTGCCGTTTTTGTTGTTTTATTTGGCATTTTGTGGGCACCCGACGCTTGGGGCAACCTAACCTACTTCATAAGCAAAGGGGAATTGCCTTAATCTTGAGAAATATGCACTCTCATATGTGGATATTAACTCATTAAACTTTTTAGATGATCTAAAAGCCTATTTAAAATTGGAAAATTAATTGTCACCCCATCCTTAATAATGTACAACTAAAAAAAAGCTTTTCAGATTATTTTAAATTTATACGTGTTTCAATTCATTCAACCACCGAAAAGATACGACCATCGTAGTCATAATTATGTCACTCGGCCACCATTTTCATATTTTATTTTCCCTGAGATAGTTTAGATAACTCTTTGAAATTCTTTTAGGAAATGCGGAAAATAAGTGACTGATTCTAGACAAACAAATACGAAAAAGATAGAAAAAAAGTATCCAGATAGACAGATCAGACAGCGTACATCTCAAGAGCGAGATCATGCATGTGGAGTGTCCCTGGCCGGGGCAAAACGACCTGTGAAACTAAGAAGTTTTTTTTTTATTTTCCGGTGGGCAAACACTTGTGCAATCCCTCTCAAAAGGGAACATCAAACAATTCACAAATGGACATGAACTTGCAAAGCATTGATGGAGACTCATATTGTTTTGTTTTCAAAGAGGACAAAAACCTGCTAGTTTTGTACAACAAAGCCCCATCTCTCCCCACCCATCCCTTTTATTTTTCTCAAGCAATACCTCCACCGTCCAAAATAAAAAAAACACACACAATTGAATACAATTTGTTGTCTCGACATTAATATTGTCTGTCAGGTCATCGCGTCAAATGTCACTTTAACTCCGCATTAAAATGATATGGTAAGTTTCGAGTCACGCCTCTAAGAATTGTTATTACGCCATACGAGGAAAAAAGACTCGTAATAATTGACGTGATATTCTTCTTTGATTTTCTAATGTTGGACTTGAGTTGATACGAAGTTTTAGACCGTAAATTTATGCAGTAATCTTTCAAGGGTCTAGCATAAATACGGAGTAATTATTTATTTGGATTAAGCTATTTGTACACCAAAATTTGTACCTTATTTTGTACCCTAAAGACATGCACCTACATTTTGTGCTAGGGTGATGTTAGTGTGATGATTTACATTGACAAAAAATGTCAGTGCAATTTTTTTAAATTGAACTAACATTTTCTGCCAGTGTGAACCGTTAAAATGTCGGTGCATTTATTTGGGGTACAACTTGGGATACACCACCGTAGCATGGTTGTTCTTTAATTTCCAAGAGGAGAGTGAAAAACTCATGTTAGTACATACCTAGAGCACATGAGCACATATTTCATCCCAAAGTACAAACAAGCCCTAATCAATCATGGGTACGTGTTTGATGGGAGATCTCTTGGGATTGTATGGATGCTTCTCTGGTCAAATCAAACCCAAATTTTTTATGTCCCCAGTTTGAACAAACAAGGTTAAAAAATGCAAGAAATCCATTGGGACTGGCACCAAATATTTCACAGACATGCACAGACAAGGACCATCTATAAGTGTTTGTGAATAGGGGTGGACACGGTACAGTTCCGGGACGGTTCCGGTTTTGGAACCGCCGGTTCCGGTACCGCCACCCCTTGGTACCGGTACTGTGACCGGACCGACCGGTACCGGTTCCGGTACCCGGACCGGCGGTTCCGGTACCGGACCGGCCACCCCCAAATTAATTTTTTTTTTTTTGCTTTTTTATTAAATTTTGTGAAAAAAATAGCCTTATCCCAAACTGACCTGAATTCCTCTTCTGTATCCGGCTCAATACCCTCCGCCATTAGCAAAATCGGAATTCCCAATGCATAAAATTATCCAGATGACCAGATCTATAGACAATGCCGCCGTAAGGATACCAGATCTATAGACAATGCCACCGTAAGGATTCGTGGAGGCGCTATACTGTTCTTCGGCTTCATCTTCCTCAGGTCTCTCCCTCTTCTTATTGATCGATCTACTGGGAAAAGCAAAAAAAAAAATACAAAGGATACCGGAACCGGAACCGGTACCGCCGGTGCCGGTACCGAAAAATGGGTACCGGAACCGGTACCGTGGGGGGCGGTGCCGGTACCGGTTCCCCGGAACCGGAGATACGTGACGCCGGCGGTGACGGTAGCGGTACCAGCGGTACCGTTACCGGTAGCGGTACTGTACCAGTACCATGTCCAGGCCTATTTGTGAACTACTTTGTTAAACTCTCAGTGTCAAACCTGGTGTGACCCTACGTCTTGTCAATTTTTTAATAGCATGTGGGTGGTACACTCTGCTAGGAGAATTTGACAAAGCATCATCTTTGGCTTCATTTGTACAAGCTCAAGATCATCAATGGCAGTCAGTGGCACATGCATTTACTTGAAACTCAGAGTTGAATCATTCAAAAATTCACTTGGCTTATAACAGACAGCTACAAGACATTGTCAATCACCAGAAAGAGAAAGGGTCCCTGTGTTGACTTTGGTCCATCAAGGCAAATCATACCTGGAAATGAGGGGTAACATCGTCAATGTCTTCCGTGTGAACACTGACGATGTCAACCTTGATGTCATCCCTGGTGTGACTATATCATGAACTTAACACAATTGGGACTAATATAAATAAGGTGGCAATAATGACGATGGCGACAAGAAATCATTAAAAAAAAAAAACTCAGGTGTGTACATTCCACATGGGACATGGACAGGAACTACCCCTTTGTTTCCCAGAAGAACCCCAAGAAAAACTATAATGCACTAGAAAAGTCTAGATCCAGTGCATAGTACTATCTATTCTCTCTGTATGAATGAAAAGATGGAATATAAAACATAAGAGATCCACCATACTGAATATCAGAAGTACCATTTATCAAATAATAACTAGAAACAATTATCCATAAGAACAGCTTGGTAGCCTATCATTCATATATACTGGGTGGTCCTCAAAGGATTCAATGTATCTAGCAGGAACATTGCATTGTGTACAAACAAGTTGTGAATATGTTTGCTCTCCAGTTTGAGACCTGCATGGATTTTGTTACTTATCAACATCACATTTTGTCCCATTGGATTTGGACTTCCAACATACCTTGTGTGTGTGTGTGTATCTTGGACATTAAAATTTATTTGTGCCCACGGTGAAACTTATATGAAATGCGCAAACAAATAAAATGCGGAAAAATTAAAAATTGTAATTAAATCCGATAAGCATGTTATATTACACATTATTAGGTCATGTTTTCTTCACCTGATCTGAATAGTTCTGATCTAGTTGGAATAATTTCTAATCTAATCTCATCTTATCAGAATGTACTTATATTTAAAACTATTTCTGATCTGATCGGATTTGGTCTGATTCCAATAAGAAAAAGTAATAAGAATAAGTTGAAGAGAACATGGCCTTAGTTCAGAAAATCCATAATTGAGTACCTTAAGACTCTCTCTTAATGATTTTTTAGGATAGAGTCCGGCCTCAAGAACATTGTCAAAGCACCACACGAGTTAGGGAACTAACAATCACTCAAAATTTTAAAATGGTCATCCAAGGATTTAAAAGGTTATCCTTAAACCTTTACCCAAAGATTATTGGCTATCCGTAACTATTACAACTAAGAATTTATACGGTTACTCTCGATCTATTACAAAGTACGGTTGAAGAACAACAATCACTCTATCATTGCCTCAAGGGAATATATATACCAGAGCGGATATGTGTAGAGAATCTCATGTACTCTTTACAAATAAGAACTTATCAAATACTCCCTCCGTCCCCCTAAGATATTCTCATTTTGACTTTTGGTGATTTTTAAGGAGAGTTGAAAAAAGATGAAAGTTTACCATAATACCCTTAATGAAAATGGGTGGAGTGTATTAAATGAGGAGGGTGAGGTGTAAAAAATAAAGTAAGTGGTGGTAGTTGTGGTATTTTAATTGTTAAAAAATGAAATGAGAAGATTTATTGTGGACAAAAAAAAGGGCTATTGGGAAGATCTATGGGGGACGGAGGGAGTATTAGTGTATATAATCTATATGACTCGTTACAATTGTCATTACTTATTTTGTAGGTCGAAAATGGGTGATTTAAAAATCAGGGTTCTTGTAAGAGGAAGGGCTACCACTTTGATATTTAGAAATGCTCCAAATTCACAATGATTGTACTATGCTACTAGTGTTGGATGATGTTAAAATGCATTAAGCTTGTGAATATAGATGAATAGGGATGACAATTCAACCCGAACCCGAGCTTAACCGACCCGACCGACCATTAAAATATCCGAACCCAAACCGAGAATAAAATAAACCGAACCCGACCCGAAATTTTTTACCCGAACCCGACATCGGGTCGGGTCGGGTATGGATTTATTATTTTACCCGACCCGACCCGACCCCGCACCCGACCCGACTCAAACCCGAATATTTTATAACATAAAAGCCTATCTATGGATATAATGAGCACTCCGTATAATCTCTTGACAAAGTGCTACTATATCAAGTATGCCTTTTATAATCATTTTTATAATTTCTTAATAAAAAAAATGAGACACAAAAAAAATAGATGTAATCTTTTTAAAATTTTTGTGGTACGCCGAATTGATTATTAGTTAAAAGTCAGGTTCGGGTCGGGTTCGGGTCTCTGGTTGGAATGTCGGCTTCGGGTCGGGTTCGGGTTTTGGCTTAAAAAGTGGGTTTCAGGTCGGGTTCGGGTTTCGGTTTTTAAAGTCGGGTCGGGTTCGGGTATAGTACTATCCGACCCGAACCCGACCCGTTGCCATCCCTATAGATGAATAAAAGCATATTCTTTTTAAAAAATCTACCTAAAATCTAAACAGAAAAGTTAGCAAACCAAGGTTAACAATAAATATTGGATTCAATAAGTACAATATCATATATTGCAAATAGTCTATTTCATCGAGTTCACAGCTTTAGAACTCTATAGTAAACGAATGTATGTTATGTTCAATGAAATGGAAGAGAATGTGGTGCTGAATATATTATTTAAAAAAAGAAGGGATTTTTCATTCTTGAATCTTGAATTCTTGATCCTCCCAGATGTTTGTTTATTATTGGATTAAGATTACCACATAAACAAATGCTCAAGAAGAAAAGGAAAAGTAGCATCTGAGCAATTCCCAATTCCCAGACAAGTGTAGTCAAACAGGTTAAAGGTAAAGTCAATTTTGAAACAAAAGTAAACCAGTTGAATGTGGGGGAAATGAGTGAAACTTGTATCAATGCCTGACCTCTCCATCCATTACATTATGGGAAGCATTTCATTCTCTGCAAAAAAAGGGGAAAGAATTTCTTTGTTCCGTAAAAATAATGTCGAATTTTCATACATCGGTAAGTAGAGTGCGTACAACGCAATCACCTGTCTTTCAATTTCAACAATAGATGCAGCAAGTCTTCTTCTCAACAAGGACCTCTCATGTTCGCAAGACTCCATCTCAGCATCTAAAGCAATCAGGTCAAATAGCATTGCCATATCAGAATCAAAGAGATAGAAAAAAGTTCACGGAGTTGACTCTGTGTTAGGCATGTCTTTCGTTGATTCATTCTTTCAAGTAAATAATTGTCAATGCTTCTTCGTTGACCTCAACCTCTCTATTCCCAAGTAGGGGCAAGATTTATTTGTGTACACAAACCATTCTTAGACCCTACTCTTTTGGGATTGTATTGGGTTTGTTGTTGTTGTTGCTTCTTCTTTGAGCT